ACCTTTCATTTGTTTTGATCCCTTGACCCCTCATATTCCAAAATAGACCACTCTTAGAACGATCTCCGATAAAGGATTTAGGTCTAACTTACACGAAATAGCTAAAACACTATCGCCCCGCGCGGATCAAATTTCTACAAAGGCCGCACAAATATGTGGCTTCATATAACATAATTTCTTCCTTCCGGAAATAAAGTTAAAATTGTACCGCTTATTTGTTCTCACCAACTTAGAATAATATTGTCCCTTTTTCGGTCTTCTGAACGCGTCTGACCACAGTAAGATGGAAAATGTTCAGACAGTTCTTAGTTGAAATCTATTTTTCTTACTGGATCCAGTGTTTATTATAAGGATAAATGTTAGTCCACATTACATTTATGTGGATGAGAAGACTCGAAGCCATAATATGCTTTCTGTTTCGCGCCAAAAATAGCCCTAATCTTCCACGAATTAACGCTCTTACTGCGGTAGACCAAACTTAAGCCACTGGTAACTCCTCCATGACAACTTCACCACTCCTTATTTCCCCATCTAACTGTTCTCGTGTTTTTGACTCCAAATCTTTCACTCGAAATTGGATTGTCATCTACATTGCCCATTTTCAAAGGCAAGATACGTGAGAAATTAAATTTCGAGGAAATAATGTCCTTACTGTCTGTTTCTTTCCCAAACACGCAACATTTGGAGGCCCTTCCAATAATCAAAAAGTGGTCTCTAAATGGGTTTACATTTTCGTCTAGAGAGTCAAGAATCCTTTCAAACTGATGCCAACTCTTCCCCGTTTTTCAACCCTGACGATGGTCTTCGAGGTGTTTGTTGCTTATCGTCTCCGGTTCTTACGCTTTTGCCAGCTTGACTGTGGGTCTGCAAGCTATTTGGTTGCATTTCAGTGAAATTTCCCGTGACTTCTACGGTCCCGTCCTCTTTTCGACCCCGTTGTCCACGATGAGTTCCTCTTGCCTCACCCCAGAATCCTTTTTCCCACGACAAGAAGACTTCAGAATCCTAAGCATGACGACCGCATCTCACTGCATCATATCGTACTATATCATCCAAATACCCATTTAAGCGTTTTATTCTCCTATAATTTTTTGAAATCGGGGCATATTGAACTCTGCCCCTAATTTCCCTTATAAGAGATTTCTTACCCCTTCTTTTTCTTTTCAGGAAAATTACCTAATATTGTCGATTATTATTTTAAAAAGGCTCCGTTGTAAATCGGATTGAACTAAATATGTATAACATACCCTTCATAAGTTTACTTGTCTGAGCTTTCGGGCTCCTTCTAGAGTCCTTCGTCAG